TTTGAAGATAGTATCTAAGTATGTCAACTTGTAACAAATGTCTAACACTTAAAAAACAAGAGGTTCCGCTCCGCTTGGCACCCATAGCATAGTGGTTACAGTGCCAGCCACATGTACCGATGGTGGCAGGTTCAAACCCAGCCCCAGACTGCTAAACACCAATGACAACTGCAACCAAAAATAGCTGGGCGTTATGGCAGGCACCTGTAGTCCCATCTACTTGGGAAGCTGAGGCAAGAGAATCGCTTAAGCCCAAGAGTTTGAAGTTGCTGTGACCTGTGATGCCACAGCTCTCTACTGAGGTTGACATAGTGAGACTCTCTCTCAAAAAGAACAATACAGGCTCGGCGCCTGTGGCTTAAGTGGCTAAGGTGCCAGCCACATACACCTAAGGTGGCAGGTTCGAATCCAGCCCAGCCTGCCAAACGACGACGGCTGCAACCAAAAAATGGCTGGGCATTGTGGCAGGCACCTGTGGTCTCAGCTACTTGGGAGGCTGAGGCAGGAGACTCGCTTGAGCCCAGGAGTTGGAGGTTGCTGTGAGCTGTGAGGCCACAGCACTCTACCCAGGGGGATAGCTTGAGGCTCTGTCTCAAAAGAAAAAAAAAAAAAAAGAACAATACAAACAAAAAAATCAAGAGCCTCGGTGTCCGTAACACAGTGGTTAAGGGGCCAACCATATACACCGAGGTTGGTGGGTTCAAACCCGGCCTAGGCCAGCTAAACAACAATGACAACGGCAACAAAAAATAGCCAGGTGTGGCGGCACCTGTAGTTTCAGCTACCTGGGAGGCTGAGGCAAGAGAATTGCTTAAGCCTAAGAGTTGGAGGTTGCCATGAACTGTGACACCATGGCACTCTACCGAGGGTGACATAAGGAGACTCTGTCTTAAGAAAAAAAAAAAAAGAAAGTATCAAAACCATAGCGATGAACTCTTTACTTCTGGCGGCAGAGATAAGTAAAAGGGCTCTCCCATTAAAATACAACTGAATCTTGGATAAATTACAGCAAACATACTTTTAGCATATTTCTGGGTTCTTTTTTTGAGACAGAGCCTCAAGCTGTCCCCCTGGGTAGAGTGCTGTGGCATCACAGCTCACAGCAACCTCCAACTCCTGGGCTCAGCCTCCCAAGTAGCTGGGAGCACAGGCGTCCACCACAACGCCCGGCTATTTTTTGGTTGCAGCCGTCATCGTTGTTTGGTGGGCCTGGGCTGTATTCGAACCTGCCACCTTAGGTGTATGTGGCTGGTGCCTTAGCCACTTGAGCTACAGGCATTGAGCCATTTCTGGGTTCTTTAGAAAGTGAGGGAGGCTGGGCACCATGGCTCACACCTGTAATCCTAGCACTCTGGGAGGTGAAGGTAGAAGGATCATTTGGGGTTGGGAGTTGGTAAGAGCAAAACTGCATCTCTGATAAAAATAGAAAAAATTAGTGAACATGGTAGCACCTGAGCCCAGGGGTTCAAGACCATTGTGGGCAACATAGCAAGATCCTGACTCAAAAAAACCTAAAAACATTACATATATTCTAATAAAATTGAAACTAACCAATGTGTACACATGTGCACAGCAGTAAATATTAGTAAAAGTCACTGGAAATCAGTCAGGGCAGGGGGGCAAAAAGCAGGAGCAAAATATTTGGGTACAATGAACACTATTCCGATGATGGGTATACTTATAGCCCTGACTTAAACCATGTAAGAAAAACATTTGTACATCCTTAAAAAAAACATAATGAAAAAAAAACAGTGGGGTGTTGTGGCAGGCGCCTGTAGTCCCAGCTACTTGGGAGGCTGAGACAAGAGAATTGCCTAAGCCCAAGAGCTAGAGGTTGCTGTGAGCTGTGACACACTGTGAGCTGCAATGCCATGGCACTCTACGGAGGGTGATAAAGTGACTCTGTCTCTTAAAAAAAAAAATGATGAAATGGAAAACAAGTATGTAGGGGGAGGATCAACAAAACCCAAAGTATCTGAAGACAAACAAGTAAAATAAATTTCTCCCGCAACTGATCAAGGAACAAAAAGAGAGAAGGGACAGGTAAACAAAAGAAATTAAAAAGAGAATATACCTACCCACAGAAGAGAGGCCAAAAAAAAAAAAAATCAAGTCACACATAGGGCAGTTCCTATGGCTCAAAGGAGTAAGGCACCTGCCCCATATGCTGGAGGTGGCGGGTTCAAACCCAGCCCCGGCCCAAAACTGCAAACAAACAAGAAATGCACAGCACAGCGGTTACAGCACGGGCCACGCACACCGAGGCTGGAGGGTTTGAACCTGGTCTGGGCCAGCTAAACAATGACAACTGCAACAAACAATAGCCAAGCACCTGTAGTCCCTGCTACTTGGGAGGCTGAGGCAAGACAATTGCTTAAAGCCTAAGAGTTGAAGGTTGCTGACACCACAGAATTCTATCGAGGGTGACATAGTGAGACTCTGTCTCAAAAAAAAAGAAGAAACATATGAACTTCATATAATAAAAGACACGAAATGCACAAAATCATAAAAAAACACTGTAAGAATAAATAGAGGGCTGGAGCCGGGGCTCACACCACTAATGCTAGCACTCCGGGAGGCTGAAGCAGGAGGATTGCTTGAAGCCAGGAGTTCCAGACCAGCCTAAGCTAGAGCAAGACCCTATCTCTACTAAGAATAGAAAAATGAGCTGGGCATAGTAGCATGCGTCAGTAATCCCAGCTACACTGGAGGCTGTGGCAGGATGGCTTCAGCCCAGGAGTTTGAGGCCACAGTGAGCCATCATCATGCCATTGCATTCTAGTCTGGGCAACAGAGCAAGACCCTATGTCTAAAAAAAGAAAAAGCAAAAGCTTTTGAGGAGAGTTTTACCAAACTTTCAAGGAACAATTCATTCCAATCTGACGGAACTCTCCTAGAGAATAAGAGGGAACAACCCCAGCTTGGAGGGTGAAAAAACCAAAGGAACATTTTAGAAGCCTCTTTAGAAATCTTCTAAAAACAAAGGCACTAACATATGCAACAATGTTCACAGCAGCATTGTTTGTAATAGCAAGGAACTGGAAACAGCCCAAATATCCACTGATAGGTGAAGACATAAATATGCACTTGATGGAGTATTATACAGATGAAAATGAATGAATCATAGCTATTAAGAACATGGATAAATCTTATGAACAATGTAAGTGAAAAAAGCAAATTGCAGGGGGCTATTAGAGGGTAACATTTTGTAAAATTTAAAAGCAGGGGCTCAGCGCCTATAGCTCAACCGGCTAAGGCGCCAGCCACGTACACCTAAGGTGGCAGGTTCGAATCCCCAGCCTGGACCCGCCAAACAACAATGATGGCTGCAACCAAAAAATAGCCGGGCATTGTGGCGGGCGCCTGTGGTCCCAGCTACTTGGGAGGCAGAGGCAAGAGACTCGCTTGAGCCCAGGAGTTGGAGGTTGCTGTGAGCTGTAATGCCACGGCACTCTACCCAGGGGGACAGCTTGAGGCTCTGTCTCAAAAAAAAAAAAAAAAAAAAAAAAATTTAAAAGCAGGCAGAACTAAATACATTTTTCAAGCATACATACATATATGGCTAAATATATATATATATATATACAGCAGATAATAAACACAAGATTAAGGACAGTGGTTACCTCTAAGAAGGGGGACAGGATAGGGAGGAACACAAACTCAGTATTTTTAAATGTTTTAATGTGTACATTGAGTGATGGGTCATAGGTACTCATTATATTCATAATTTATTCATTACATATACTTTATAGATATCAAATATTACATATTATAATTTCTTAAAATCTGCTATGATGGAAAAAAGGAACAAATGAATGAAGTCTCCCTGAAAGATCTGTGTTTCTTGGGGAAGAACCAAGAATCCCTGACAGAAGCTACCCTATGTAGGACAAAGTTTAAGTCCTCAATAAATACTGCTTTGTTCACGGCTTTTCCCAAGGACACAACCCGACAGCCTGGATTCCCTTCCCTTTGGTGCTCCCTGACACCTCCTGAGTACCTCCCTCAGTACTTCCAGCCTAAGCCCCACAGTGCTGCCTAAGTCCTGACACATGTGACAAGAGATGGACACCTGGTGGATACAAAATAAATTTAATGAAATGACTAGGAAGAGAATTTCTCCTTAGTTGGTGAAAATGGCAACAAAGTGAGGGATAAGGAAGCAAGAATGAGGAAAAAACGAAAATTAAGAGACAGGAAAAGGAGGAGCTCCTTCTCTGAAATATAAGCAGAAGAAAAAAGGACTGTCCTCTAAATTAGACTGATGAGTGAGTCCCCACAGGAGAGTGACCTCTCTCTTTCCTTCTGAGATCAAGAGGTAACAGTTGCAGCAAAAGAAATGCATGACTGAGGGGAAAAGGAAGCAGGGAGAGCTGATCACAGTCTTAAGAAGTTAGAAGTACATGCCCACGACAGCATTGGCTGGGTGTTAGAAACCGTGCCCACCCCCCCCACCCCCCCACCCCGCCCGGTTTCCGTCTGGGGAATCTGTGATTCCAAGGAGGCCAATCCTACCCTGGTCGGCACCGGTGTAGTCTGTGATGTAGAATAACCAAATTAGCATGGACCATCCTCCTGGCCATAGTGATTGGTCAGGAGTGAACATGTGACCTAGGCTGCCTAGCCAGAGTGAACCTGGGACGGATGCTGGGATTCCTGGTGCAGAGTCTGGTTGGACAGAATTGGGGACACATGTAACCCTAGGAATGGTTGCAGCCATGAGGTGGTCCAGGCTTATGATGGTTCTACAGAAGGAGGAGCATGAGAAAGAAAAATCAATCAGGTATTTGGAGATGCACTGAGCCACTGTATCAAGCTTCACCTGGAGCCAGCCCTACCTCTGGACTTTCCAGTTACATGTACATGAGCCAATAAAGCATCTTTAACTCAAGCCAGAGTTAGGTTTTCTATGATTTAAACCCAAAAGACCCCTATTCTATACATTCATCATACTTACCCCATCCCTATCTTCTCACAGGCTAGCACAAGGATCCAGGAAAGAAGGGCACTACAGATTTATTGGTTTACACTAAAGACAAGGGTATCAAGCTGAAAAGGTCAGAGGCAGCAGCTAGGCACTTGTGAGACTGGGTGACTCAGCTGTGTATGCAGTGGAGAATGGACTCTCTTAGAAAAAGAATAGTCAAATAAGAAGCAAGTGCAGAGAAGGGCCTCTGCAAGGCAGACAGGTAGAGTTAACATATGGATATAAACACTCTTCCCAACAGACCTGTCATGGGGGTGTTGCTTTGGGGTCTTTACGCTCATGGGAACTTTGAAGCATGTGCCCCTTTAAGTCTTTATCACCCTGCACTGTGGGGCCTACCTCTTCCTTTACCAACTGCAGAGCCTCCTTTTGGCTTCTACTACCCTTGATAACACTCACTTTTGAGGGGACAAGAGGAATTTTATCTTCTGCTTCTTTGGCATGCCGGGAACGGGGGTCCCTTCCTCCTTTGGAAACAGCACCATCTTCCTGATCTTGGGTAAGCACTGGCCCCTTCTCAGCCTCTCCCACTGGCCTCTTTGGCCCTCCCACTAAACTGTTTTCCCTTCCACAGCCCCACAACTCCCCTGGTAACCTTGAGGACTGGCCAGACTCCATGGCAGCTGCTGACTTCTCAGGGGTAGAATTCATTTCCCCACTTCCACCTGACTTTTTTCGAGGGCGCCCCCGTTTTCTTTTGGTGTCACTTGCTGTATCCTCTATATCTTGCTTTGTTGCTTTAGCTGGTGGGTCCTGCCCACTGGCCTCACCCATAGGTACTTCAGCTGTCCTCTTGACACCCTTCTGATAGGGTCCTGGGTCACCACCTATGCCTACCTCCCTGTTCTCTGTGCCCTGTGGCTGAGTAAGCCCCCCAGGTGGAGCTCGCCCAGGCCCATGCCCAGGCAGAGCAGGAACAGTTGGTAAGATCATGTTAATGATGGGGACAGCTCCCTGAGGTCCCCCAGCCCTACTGGACAGAGGCAGAGTAGCTACTTTTAGGGCACCTGAAGAAAGCTTGGGAGCCAGGATAGGTGGAGAGACTGGGATTGGTGGAGCAAGACAGCGAGGGGCCCGGGGAAGGAGCAGAGGCAGTCGGGCCACTAGAGCATTAACCTGCAGGTTACTGGCTGTTGGGGCAGAGCTCTCAACTACATTCTTCTTCCGCTCTCCACGCCCTAGAGGCCCAGCCCCAGGCCGGGATTCCAGCTCCTTAGGAGGCTAAAAGGTAAAAAGAACATAGTAAGGCATGAAGACTAAATTTTGGAGGAAGCATAAACACCAGAGGCCGGGGAAGTGAAAAGCATGGGACCCAACAGAAGGGCACACTATATAAACTCCTGGCTCAGGTCGTCAAAATCAGGGATATTGACGTTCTTTTTTTTTTTTTTGGAGACAGAGCCGCAAGCTGTCCCCCTGGGTGGAGTGCCGTGGCATCACAGCTCATAGCAACCTCCAACTCCTGGGCTCAAGTGAGTCTCCTGCCTCTGCCTCCCAAGTAGCTGGGACCACAGGCGCCCGCCACAACACCTGGCTATTTTTTTTTTTTGGTTGCAGCCATCATTGTTGTTTGGCAGGCCTGGGCTGGATTCGAACCCGCCACCTTGGGTGTATGTGGCTGGCGCCTTAGCCAGTTGAGCCACAGGCACCGAGCCAGATATTGACGTTCTTACCTGGGCCGGTCTCTCTGGTTTCTTAAGGGCTCCACCCTCTAGGCTGTCCACGCCATTCTTAGATTTAGACGACCGTCCCCGAGGGGCATGTTCATCCTCTTCTGCAGAAGTGACAGACAGGTAATAAAGTGACAGACAGAGAATGAGGAGGAAACTGAGGAATAGCGCTGTGAGGTAATTCTGACTGACTGACAGGTAGGGACAGAGAAAGAGGCCTTTCTAGAGCATGTCTTAGGAGGGTCTTCATGAACAGAAGGCAAGTATAGGGTGTCTTTGTTGTAGCATGGGGGGGGAGGGAGAGCTTTGAAGTTGAAAGCAGACAAGGGTTTCTCAGACATCTGAGCAGGTCCACTCACCAGCAAGGCCCATGGCCTTAAGTACATGGGCGTGTGCTGACCGGGCAGAGATGAGGTGCTGCTGCAGCAGGAAGCGGGCAACCTCAACAATGGAACTGAAGGACCGTTTCAGGATTCTCTCTGCCCAGTCGCAGGTCAGGGCACAGGCTGCCTCCACCAGTTCATTCCGAGGTGCTGGGGTTACTTCTGGGCCCATTTCTGGCTATAGTGGGGAAGGACATGCCCAATCACACTCCAAACTAAAGGATTCCTCCCCCTCTCTGATGCTACCATTAACTAGAACTGAGACCAAACTGCTGATGGGAGTAAACTTTAACTATCTAGTCCCCAAAACCCACAAATTTCCTTCATCCTTTGTGTCAGCCATCGCTTGGCAGAAGGGCATAGCAATGGAGTCTGCACCGCTGTCATGTCCCAAAGACCTCTGACTTTTACCTCGGAGAGAAGAGTGGAGGGTTGTTACTTACACTCTCAGAACCCTTAAGGTCAAGTCCAGGCAGGGGTGGCATAGACACCAAGGTCTTCCTTCGTATGCCACTGTAGCAGTATCTGATGCAAGTTAAGGAGCAGCCAACACAAGGTGATCTCCACATTACACAGGCAAGTTAAGCTGTTTCTCTCCCTGGTCCTCCAGCCCCAACCTCTCTAGTCAAGGATACTTGGACTGACCCCGGCCTCCAAGCCTTCTTGCTTTGATGTCAGGGAAGATCTCTCTAATGATTTTGCCAAAGTTGGCAGTGCTGAGTGGGCGGCAACAGGCGAGACTCTCGCAGTACTTTCTGAGTAAGCAGGGGCAGAATAGGAAGGTAGCTCAGAGAAGTAGGCTGGCTAGGTTTTTAGAGGGCTTCTACAGATCAGGTGTGAGGAACCCTTTACTAAGGCAGACTCTATCAAGGCAAGGATCTCTCCAGCCATGGGGGGGATAGTCCTGTGTCTGCCAACCCATTCACCCACCCATTCACCTGTCCACCCACCTATAGGCATCATAAACGCTTTGCTTTGGCAGACAGGTGTCTGTGTGTTCTTCCAGGTGGTTTCGGATCCACCTGTAGGCATACATGTACTCCTCATTGCTGAGTGTACTTGGCTCCGAGCTGCAGGAAAAGTAAAAGGAACAAGCATTAACTAACACCCTAACAGCTGTCCTGACTATCACTTCAATAGTTCTCGGCCAAATTAGTTCATCCAGAATCTACCCTTCCCTGGTATCAGCACACCAAGGACCTTTCTTCTTGGTCAAGACCAGTAGTCCTGAGTCTTCCTGTTCACCTGCCCCTCCCCAGGAAGCCTTTCTCTAAGAATGTGAACCTCTGACATCTAAATCTGCAACATCAAACCTACCTCTTATCTCCAGTGCTGGGCCCTGAAGGGAGCTGAAGGTAAAGATACAGTTTGTCGTTGTCTGAGAACTTCTGTACATCTTGCTGAGGTCATGGGGAGCAGAGACAGAAAAAATAATAAGGCCAAGAAGCATCTACCATAGGCCTCTCTGATCCTTACCACAAAATCTAGCTGGCTTAGTGGTCATCAGACTGAAAGGGACCTAGAAATTACTTGAGGCTAGGTGTTCACTGTGTTCTGAAAAGCCAGAAGGGGAACAGAAAGAATTAACTCTGACTTTTGGGGGGAAGAGAGATCAGTTCTGATTTTATCTCTACTGGGCTTCTATACAGGAAGCCACAGGGAGAAGTGAGATGCACAAACTGAGAGCAAGCTGCAAATTATCTTCTGACAAAGCAGACAACATTGCCTCTCTTACATAAACCTTTTGTTTACCCATACCATCCCCACCATCCTCATTCCCACCAATTCCAACTCTCTATTTCCCTCTTCCCCAACATACTTACCAGGATTCCCTCTACTTTGTTCTGCACGGCCTTGCTGTGGGAAGAGGAAAAAGCTAGAGATCATACAAAAGATTTTCCCCATCCCTTTGGCTGACTGCTAAGGAGACAAAAGAACTGAAATGCCTAGCAGGTGTTCAAGAATGGCTACCATGACCAAAAATCCCCTCCTGCTCAGATGCGAAGTGCCACAGGGATCTAAGCCCAGGTCTGGAACAGGGTTTTGGAAACAGTGATGAGTACTTACGAAATGGTACCTCGAAGCTTTTGAAGAAGGGTGGTAGGTTCCCCTGCCTCTGCACCACCTGGAGGTACCCTTCCCCCAGTCTTGGGGCTCTTAGCATCAGGCTCATCTTCTGCCATCCCAGCATGAGGGCTACAGTTGAGAAGGGATAGGGTAGGAAAATATAACTCACACTGGCCTCTCCTTCCCCCTGAGACCCCAGAGCACTCTTCATCTCTCTACCAAGAAGGCAGAGAAACAGAAATAAAGCCTCTGAATTTCCCCAGTGGTCTTTTTCTCACCACTTGCCTTCTCCAAAAATTAGAAATTATTCCATTACTTCGCCAGGCCCATCTATACCCAAAGAGATCTTTGCCATCTCCATTCTATCTGCCCCACCTTTCTGAAGTCTCCTAAATCTGGAAAACTGTAAAGGAAGAGATAGGGGATTGGGAATCCAAGTTAGAAAGAAACGTTCATTTCTGCCTCTGACCCCATACTGCCCTCCCCCTTTCAAAAACAACAATAACAAGCCACAAAACAAAGTTCTCTAATTCTCTAATATACGCCTCACCACTGGATGTGCCAGGGAGGTCAGAAGGATATGCACATATTGTGTGCCCTGCCAGACTGGAAAAAACACTTAAATCTCGCCACGACTTCCCCCGCCGCTCCCCCTCCCCACGTCGCCGGCCCCTACGTCATCTCCCACAACAACCCATCCCGATGCGCGCCCCCCACATCCCTCCCTGCCCCCTCCATTCAATCCCTGGTTGCTGCAAACTGGGGGGCTCAGGGTAGCGGAACTCATGGGCTGGGCTTAGGACACCCGGTAAGCGGAATGGGGTCCCAGATTCGGGGCACGTGCACATGGGTGAAGAAGCTGTTGAAATACACCCAGAATCTTCCTCCCAACTAATATTGCCCCCTCCCTACCTCTGAACAGTCGCCTTCCAACACAAACAACAATAAAGGTAAGGGAGAAAGAGAAACTACCTCGCAGCCACCTTCGCTCCAACCCAGCCCCGCGGCTCGTGCGTTGCTTTATTTTCCTTTTTCTGAATGGTTGCAGCAGCCGTGATCTGCCTAGATACACGGACGGCCTGCTCTGTGATTGGTCGTTGCTGCCACCCGGAGACAGAAAGCGCCAGGCGTGCTCCGGCGGCAGCTAAACTCTGCCTGGTAACAGAATCTGATTGGTCAATAGGGGAGAGAAAATCCAAAGTTGGTCTTATTTGAGTCAAGAGGGGGGAAGTCCGGGTTGGGTTTCGGTTAAAACTGGGGTCGGTTGGGACTGCAGGTCTCAAGAGATTCTTCTCTTAAAGGGACCGCAGGACGAAAGACCAGGCGCACGGCCCCTTTGGAGCTTTCTTTTCTTTTGCCTTGTCCTTTTGTGTTTCTGTTTTGTCTTCAGAGCTGCCGGAAGAAAAGAATCAATGCATGATAAAATAACCAGAAAATTACATTTTGTAGTGATGGAAGTTCGCTGGAAGCTCCAACGGCAGGCAATACAACCTGCAGACACGCTGGGGACAAACCTGCAGTCACGGGGCTTTCGTTTATCCTTACTAGAGGCCTCAAAACCTCAACAATCGCGCCACGTTAAGCTACAAATGCTTTTTTCTCCTCTTAGTGTTCCTTAGTTTCCTGTATGTACTTTTCTTCCGAAGGGTTGGGGATGCATTTTCACCCCCTGGTTCTCCACTCAGAGGACAATGGAATTTTGACCGTATCCCACGCGGGGTGCTGGATGCCCCCCGGGAAATTTTTGCCCTCAGAGAACATAACTGAACAGGGCATGGGTTCTGAATCATCTGATTTTTAGGTCACGAATCAGATAAAAGTAATATAGACCCTCTGCCATGAAAAATGCACATACAGGACAAGTTTTGCATCTAGTTTTATAAAGATGGAAATGGACTGTATAAGTTGACAGGCTCTTTAATGGATGCGTTTTGTTTTGCACAGCACATGTTATGTGCGAAACTGTTTTTGCTGTCTTGTCTTTCTGTAAGTCCTCTAGGTTCATTGTGAAGAAGACTGCAGTGCTGCCTTATGGCGCCCGTTTTGCATTTTACTGCCTCTGAGCACTGGGGGAACCAATGGATGTGGCTTTTGGGGAATGTAACTATATTGGCAAGGAGGTTTTCTAATAACAGCTAAAATTTACTCGATGTTTTATTGTGTGTCAGACACGTCATGTAATGCTCACAGCAACTCTCTGGGATAGGTATTATGACTGTCTCCATTTTACAGATGAGGAAACAGATTTGGAGAGGTGAAGGGACTAATCCACAGTCACATCTGTAGAAAGTGCTGGAATCACAATTGATTCAAAGGTAGGCAGTCTGCCTTCAGAGCCCATTCTCTTGAGTAGTGCCCTGGACTGCATGGGTACATAGTTGGAGATGCTTGTGGGTATAGACTGGTGGATAGATACCCAAATGCCATCATTTGGTATAAAGGGAATTCTAGTGAACTTTGATGGGAAATAGAGTTTTGGGTGAATTATACTGGCTTTGTTTGTTTATTTTTTGAGACGGAGTCTTACTCTGTTGCCCAGGTTATGGCAACCTCAAACTCCTGGGCTTAGCCACGCTCTTTCCTTAGGCTCCCAAGGAGCTGGGACTACAGACATTCACCTCCACACCAGATCAATTTTTCTATTTTTATTTTATTTATTCATTTATTTATTTTTTGGCCAGGGCTGGGTTTGAACCCACCACCTCTGGCATATGGGGCCGGTGCCCTACTCCTTGGAGCCACAGGCACCACCCCTATTTTATTTATTTTTTAAACAGAGTCTCACTATGTTGCCCTGGGTAGAGAGCCGTGGCATCACAGCTCACAGCAACCTCAAGCTCCTGGGCTTAAGCAATTCTCTTGCCTTGGCCTCCCAAGTAGCGGGGACTACAGGCACCCACCACAATACCTGGCTATTTTTTGGTTGTAGTTGTCATTGTTGTTTGGCAGGCCAGGGCTGGGTATATGTGGCCGGTGCCCTAGCTGCTGAGCTATAGGCATCCAGCCAATTTTTCTATTTTTAGTAGAGACAGGGTCTCACTCTTGCTCAGGCTGGTCTCCAACTCCTAAGCTCAAGCAATCTACCCACCTCGGGCTTTCAGAGTGCTAGGATTACAGGTGTGAGCCACTGTACCCAGGTATGCCGGCTTTAAAAAGTGCGAGTAGCTGGAAATAATGGGAAATTTTGGTAAGGGGAGAAAAAGCATCATCGCTATGTAAAGGAGATACATAACTGTAACACCGTAGAAGGTGAGTTTGAGTGGGATGAAAGGCTAGAGATGTGGGAAAACGGCAAACTAACTATTAGGCATTGTGCTAAGAGCTGGGGATATAAAGCTGAATAAGGTATGGTCCTAGCCCTACCTTAAGAGAAGGTATCATTATTGAGAAATACTGACAATTACTGACAACAGCAAATATTTACATAGTGCTTAATATATGCTACAGGCTGCTTCTGAGAGTCTCACATATGTTACCTATTTATCTCATACAACTCTATCAGATAAATGCTATGAATATCCCCATTTTGCAGATGAGAAGACTGAAGAATTCAAAGGTTAATAACTTGCTCAAGGTGGGTGGCACCTGCTTCTTAAGGAGTAGGGCGCTGGCCTCATATACTGGAGGTAGCAGGTTCAAACCCAGCCCGGCCAAAAACTGCAAAAAAAAAAAAAAAATTGCTCAAGATTACACAATTAGTAGGTGATAGAACCAGGATCTGAATCTAGGCTCTCTGCATTCAGAATTTGTTCTTAGGACAGTGCCCGTAGCACAATGGTTAGGGTGCTGGCTGCATATACTGAGGCTGGTGAGTTTGAACCCAGCCTGGGCCTGCTAAACAATGACAACTGCGACAGAAAAATAGCTGGGCATTGGGGCAGGTGCTTGTAGTCCCAGCTACTTAGGAGGCTGAGGCAAGAGAATTGCTTAAGCAAAGAGTTTGAGGTCACTGTGAGCTGTGATGCTACAGAGGGTGACATAGTGAGATTCTGTCACAAAAAAAAAATTTGTTCTTAGGCCTACTAACGTTGGGAGTAAAGTTCTTAACCAAACACAAAAATGCAAATTATTAAGGAAAATGTTGATAAATTCAGAGACATTAATACTAAAAACTTAAGTTTACCTTAAAAAGGAATATAAAAGGAATGCAAAGACAAGCTACAAATTGGGAGATGATATTTTCAAGACATAACTGACAAAGGAATTTATAAATATCTCCTACAAATAAAAAATTAAAAGTAGCTGGAGGTGGCGGCTCATGCCTGTAATCCTAGCACACTGGGAGACAGAAAAACTAGCTGAGCATTGTGGCAGGTACTCCAGAAGCTGAGGCAAGAGGATCGCTTGAGCCCAGGAATTTCAGGTTGCTGTGAGCTCTGACACTATGGTATTCTACCCAGGATGACAGAGTGAGATGCTGTCTCAAAATAATAATAACAATAATTAAAAAGGGGGAAAAGGATCGGCGCCTATAGCTCAACCGGCTAAGGCGCCAGCCACGTACACCTAAGGTGGTGGGTTCGAATCCCCAGCCTGGACCCGCCAAACAACAATGACGGCTGCAACCAAAAAATAGCCAGGCGTTGTGGCGAGCGCCTGTGGTCCCAGCTACTTGGGAGACGGAGGCAGGAGACTCGCTTGAGCCCAGGAGTTGGAGGTTGCTGTGAGCTGTAATGCCACGACACTACCCAGGGGGACAGCTTGAGGCTCTGTCTCAAAAAATAAATAAATAAATAAATAAATAAAAAGGGGGGGGAAAAAAAGACCCAGGCCCAGTGGCTCACACTTCTATGCTAGCACTCTGGGAAATGTAGGCCGGAGGATCCCTGAGGTCATGAGATCAGTCTGAGCAAGAGTGAGACCCTATTTATACAACCAGGAATTGTGGGGGCACCTGCAGTCCCAGCTACTCAGGAGGTGGAGGAGGCAGGATGATTTCATGAGCCCAGAGCTATAACAGTGCCACTATACTCCAGCTGGGGTTACAGAGCAAGACTCTGTTAAAAGAAAAAAAAAAGACTTGGCTCAGCGCCTATAGCTCAGTGGTTAGGGTCCCAGCTGCATACACAAAGGCTGGCATGTTTGAACCCAGCTTGGGCCAGCTAAACAATACTGACAACTACAACAAAAAATTGGCCAGGCATTGTGGTGGGTGCCTGTAGTCCCAGCTACTTGGGAGGCTGAGGCAGGAGACTCACTTAAGCTCAAGAGTTTGAGGTTGCTGTGAGCTGTTGGTGGAATTCCAAACTAATAGAGGTTCTCTGGGAAGAAGTATGGATTCTTTGGGATGCCATGGCACTCTACTGAGGGCGACATAGACTCTGTTTCGTTTAAAAAAATTTTTTTTAAATTATTTTTATTTTTATTTTTTTTAGACTAGTCAGGTGCGGTTGTAAGAAGGGGGGAAACAGGCTTGGCGCCTATAGCTCAACCGGCTAAGGCGCCAGCCACGTACACCTAAGGTGGCGGGTTTGAATCCCCAGCCCGGACCTGCCAAACAACAATGACGGC